GCCTCAACTCCCAATCATACTCTGCTTTGTGTCTATGGCAGGTCTTGTGTGGGAAAGATTTTCCTGCCCTTCCTTTAGTCTCAGGAAACCTCTGAAAGTATGGGTATAGAATTCTGCGCTGAGGTCTGTTTCTTTTCCTTCCCTGTGGGGTAGGTTTATTTCTTCTTCTTCTTCTTCTTCTTCTTCTTCTTCTTCTTCTTCTTCTTCTTCTTCTTCTTCTTCTTCTTCTTTCTTCTTCTTCTTCTTCTTCTTCTTCTTCTTCTTCTTCTTCTTCTTCTTCTTCTCCTTCTTCCTCTTCCTCTTCCTCCTCTTCCTCCTCTTCTTCTCCTCCTTCTCCTTCTTCTTCTTCTCCTTCTTCTTCTTCTTCCTCTTCCTCCTCTTCTCCTTCTCCTTCTTCTCCTTCTTCTTCTTCCTCTTCCTCCTCTTCTCCTTCTCCTCCTTCTCCTTTTTCTTCTTCTTCTTCCTCTTCCTCCTCCTCCCCCTCCCTCTCCTCCTCCCCCTTCCCCTCCTCCTCCTCCTCCTCCTTCTTCCTTTCCCTGGCAACAGTGGGTCTTTACCTGTGCAACAATCAGGGCAACAGTATTTACTGCTTCTCCCCAGAGTCTTAAACCTTTTGAAAAAAGTTTGGGCAGCTAGGGCCTTTCCTATGGGATAGATAATACTACCGTCTATGTCTATACTACTATGGGAGGCTCTTTTCAGTCTCATTCTGTATCCAGTCTTTCTTATGAGCACTTGATAAAGGCCATGGAAGAGAACCTGTAAATAAGTACAAGCTTCCGTGTGGCACACAGAGACTCTTTGTTGTTATTCTAGCCCACACTAGACCTTTAGTGATTCATTAAAATCTTAGCTGTGTTCTTACTTGCTTCTATGATGGCCCAAATACCTTCCATGTTCTGGCACAGCTGAGACAATTCAACACACAGTTTCTTCTCAAAAGGAACTGTGCCTCCTTGGATTTTAGGCTACTTAGTTAACTGGCAACCTCTGCTCAGCTCTCAGATACAACTTTTTGGTTCAAGAAAAGTTACGATTTTGCAGTTTATCTGGCTTTTACTATCAGGGAGGGAAAGATGCTCTCTCCAGTTTTTTGTTTTGTTTTGTTTTTGTTTTTTAACATCCTTAGTGGAAGTGGAGCTTCCTACATATTGTTTTGTATCATATTCCCTCTTCTCCACCGTGCCATTCAATTAGTATTGCAAACAGTTCCCTTGTCATGAAAATATTATTTTTAATGGCTGTGTATTGTTGCTTTATATTAATATAACCATTTTTTCAACCAAATTTAAATTATCGGGCATTGTAATAGACTTAACATTTGATTTTCCCAGCATCTTTACCCCAGTGCACTTCCTATAGCAGTGGACTCCTTTCTTTAGAGAACCCCCTCCTGTCCAATTCCATGTGTCTTTTTGGGGTTGCCAATCACAGTAGTTCATCGTACTGGCCTCTGGGTGATAAGAATGACCCAGGTCCACCCTGTTGTATCTTGGCTACAGTGATTAATTCAGAGGTGAGCATGTGAGAGAAGGAGGGAGAAAATCCTTTTTTTTTCTTTCTTAGTTGAGTTTTTATTGGTTGTTTTGAGGATCAGTACAGACATTTCAATTTGTACACAATTCTTAATGTACGCACCGAAAATCTAAAAATCACATAGTTGTGATTCTTTTCTAAAAGTTATTCCAGTGACCTTCCAGCTTAAAATTTGGAGGCAAATTTTCCTTAACAGTATATCAAGTACCAAGATCTTCAAATGCTGATACACTGTTACATTGTTAAGTTCCATTAATTCACAATTTAATATCATATACACTACATGCTCAAATTCTCAATCTTGCACAGCACATTAACAGTTACTAGGAAAACTGGACTACTATGACCAAGATGTTACAGAGTGCCCAAGAATTCTGACCGGGAGAGCCAAGATCTACGAGTGGTTTACTTTAGGAAACAATTCTACCAAAAACAACATGGGAATAGAAGTAATTTAAAATATTCAAGACATAGTAAATGCGCGGCTGACTCCAAATTGCCATTTAGCATGCTTGGTATTATAGGATATAAAAACTACCCCATCTATGGAATGTTGAACTGACCCCAAGACAATCAAAGCCTCCCACATTCAATATCCCACTATTTCCTGGTTGAACCAAAAATTAAACAACCAGGAAATGATTTCACCTCTTAAAAAAAGCATTTACATTTAAAAAATGGGATGAGGTGGGATTCCCTCCTTCTTAAAAATGTTTCTAGAGCTACTAAAAAACTTGCATTACGAAATAGTTGATAAAAATATTCCTCTGGATTGTACAAGAAGGACGACAGGGACCACTGATAAGACATGGTTTACGGTATTAATCAGACTTGGCTTCTTTCTCTCTTGCTTCTTCGGAGGCTGGACTCTCCTCATTTTTAGTTTCTCCGTTTTCTGCCGGTGAGTCTTCTTTCGTTTCTTGGTTAGCCGCTTCAGCCTGTTTTCCCTTTGCTCCCCTTTTCCCCTTTGTTTGCACTTTTTGTCTGAAGATTTATCCTTTCCTGCCGCCTTTTTTGGCTTCGTTTCCACTTCTGCAGGAGCAGGTTTAGCTGACAACCTCTCCGACCTCCTCTTGGGCTCCTCCTTCGCTGCCCCCTCGGAGGCGACCTTCCTCTTGGGCATCGTGGCGGCCGGGCGGGCGCGTGCCGGGTGCCTGCGGGCCCGGGGTGCGCCGAGAGCCTTCGCGAAGCTGGGCTTGCTGGCCGCTGCCGCTCCTCCCGCCGCTCGAGCTGCTGCGACCTGCCGCGGCGGCGGTGGGAGAGCCGGAGGGAGAAAATCCTTTTCAGAAATTTCTCTCGAGGGGCGCCTGGGTGGCTCAGTCCGTTAAGCGTCTGCCTTCGGCTCAGGTCATGATCCCGGGGTCCTGGGATCGAGCCCCACATCGGGAAGCCTGCTTCTCCCTCTCCCACTTCCCTGCTTGTGTTCCCTCTCTGGCTGTCTCTCTCTCTCTCAAATCAATAAATTAAAAAAAAAAATTTTCTCTTGACTTAGATGAGAAATTTCTGTCTCTTGGGATCATAGAGTTGTGGAAGGATTCCCAGCTCCTTCTTCACTACCTGAAGGAAATCCTGTGCACAGTGGGACTGAAAGAGTGGGCGAAAGGAGTCCTGACAGCATCAGTGCCTAATTTCAGGCCATAACGTTTCCAGTTTCTCTAGTTCCTTTGGTTTTTCATGTCTGATCCACCCATTACCAAAAATTCTTTCTTGTTTAAGTTGGTTTGATTTGGGTTGTTCATTGCTCCAGAAAGTATCCTCACTAATTTATACCCCAGGTAGCATTCAAGTCTCGCCGTTATAAAGAATACAGTGAAGAAACTTAGGGTTGATACATCTTTTGCATACATGCATGCTCTCTGTCCTCGTTAAGAAACATTTCCAACTGGGCGCCTGGGTGGCTCAGATGGTTAAGCGTCTGCCTTCGGCTCAGGTCATGATCCCGGGGTCCTGGGATCGAGCCCCACATCGGGAAGCCTGCTTCTCCCTCTCCCACTTCCCTGCTTGTGTTCCCTCTCTGGCTGTCTCTCTCTCTCTCAAATCAATAAATTAAAAAAAAAAATTTTCTCTTGACTTAGATGAGAAATTTCTGTCTCTTGGGATCATAGAGTTGTGGAAGGATTCCCAGCTCCTTCTTCACTACCTGAAGGAAATCCTGTGCACAGTGGGACTGAAAGAGTGGGCGAAAGGAGTCCTGACAGCATCAGTGCCTAATTTCAGGCCATAACGTTTCCAGTTTCTCTAGTTCCTTTGGTTTTTCATGTCTGATCCACCCATTACCACAAAATTCTTTCTTGTTTAAGTTGGTTTGATTTGGGTTGTTCATTGCTCCAGAAAGTATCCTCACTAATTTATACCCCAGGTAGCATTCAAGTCTCGCCGTTATAAAGAATACAGTGAAGAAACTTAGGGTTGATACATCTTTTGCATACATGCATGCTCTCTGTCCTCGTTAAGAAACATTTCCAACTGGGCGCCTGGGTGGCTCAGATGGTTAAGCGTCTGCCTTCGGCTCAGGTCATGATCCCAGGGTCCTGGGATGGAGTCCCACATAGGGCTCCCTGCTCCTTGGGAGCCTGCTTCTCCCTCTGCCTCTCTCTCTCTCTCTGTCTCTCATGAATAAATAAATAAAATCTTTAAAAAAAAAAAAAGAAACATTTCCAATATAGGAGGTGCTGGGTCATAGAAATCTGAAAGGATTTTGATGTGTGAAATTGCCTTCAGAAAGGTTGTCCATTTATACTTTTATAAGAAGTGTATATGTCCCTATTTCCACATAGTCACAAGTATATTGAGTAGTATTAATTTTTTTAATTCCCAACTAGATAAAAGATATACTGCTTTTCTTTTCTTTTTTTTTAAATTTTATTTATTTATTTGACACAGAGAGAGAGCGATCACAAGTAGGCAGACAGGCCGGCAGAGGGAGAGGAAGAAGCAGGCTCCCCGCCGAGCATGGAGCCCGATGAGGCGCTCCATCCCAGGACGCTGGGATCATGACCTGAGCCGAAGGCAGAGGGTTAACCAACTGAGCCACCCAGGTGCCCCGATATATTGCTTTTCTAATGATAACTGTTCCCATACTTGTGTTCCCAAGTATGTCTTTTTTTTTTTTTTTTTTTTTTTTGTATTTTAAATCAATATGTCTGTCTATTCCTGCTTTGAAGGTTCTCAACTGTTTTTTTTTTTTTAAGATTTTATTTATTTATTTGACAGAGAGGTAGAGGCACAGCGAGAGAGGGAACACAAGCAGGGGGAGTAGGAAAGAGAGAAGCAGGCTTCCCACCGAGCAGGGAGCCCGATGCGGGGCTCGATCCCAGGACCCTGAGATCATGACCGGAGCTGAAGGCAGTCGCTTAACCAACTGAGCCACCCAGGCGCCCCCCAAGTATGTCTTAATAATAAAAAGAGAACAAAGATCAAATATGGATGGAAATTTGGAATGAAATCAGAAAAAAAGGGAGGAGTCCAAAATTTATTCTGAGAGCATTACCGCTGTGAATACTCAACCCTGGGTTTTCTCCCAGAATAGGTATTAAGGACTGGCTGAGCCAGTATGAATGTTTCAGGGAGAAATTAATTTGAGGAAGTGTACAGAAGTCCTAGCCGGGGTTACCACCTTAGCCTGAGGCTCCAGTAGGTGATTGGCTAGAGCATTAATCAAAGCGCCACACCCTGTGTGGTTTATATATATGTTATAGCAGGGACGCAGACTTCTGGTTCCTGCTCTTGAGGAATCTCACCCACAAGGATGTGGACTCAGCTCCTTCTAGGAATATTGACCCTATCACTAGCCATTGCAGAAAAATATCTCTTGTAAGTGCTTGGCGTCAGAGTTGATTTAGGGCAGGTGGCTTCTTTGTCTATTTTTCTCAAATGTAAATATGGGAGAGAAGAGATAACCTCTGATTTGTTTTAATTTCCTTCTCATCTGTTCCTTCTTTGGTTCCATTTCTCCTCTACCCAGAGAGAAAGGCAGAGGCACTGAAAGGAAGCTTTAAGAAAAAAAAAGAAGGGGCGACTCCTCATACCCTGTTCTCTGTAATAGAATTAATTTCCTTCCTGGTACCCTAGGTGTAGGTTCTCAGTGATGGCCTCCTAATTGTGGTTAGTTTAAGGATGTACACAGCTTAAGGCTGAGTTATTTGTTACTCATCTGCTTCTCCATTATAGAAAATAAGGTTCATAAAGGCAGGGAATCAGTCTGTTTAATTCACTGCTATATGCTGAGTGCTTATGAGAGGGCTTAATTTTTCACTGAATGAATGAATCATTACTGACCCGAAATCCTTTTGCTTCCTTAATAGAAACTATCTGGTGACAGTACCAGCCCAGCTTAACTTCCCCTCTACCCAGAAAGTTTGTTTGGATCTGCGCCCGGGGTCCCATGATGTAAAATTCACTATTACTCTGGAGACCAAGAACAAGACTCAGAAGTTGCTAGAAACTTCTGAATCGAAGAAAAGACCCTTGCAGTGCATCTCCTTTCCGGTAAGCACAGATTCAACCCCAACTTTGCTCCCTTCCTTTTTTATCCTCCTTCCTAGGCACTTAGGCAATCTACTCTTGTCACAGTCTTCAAACCTGTCTCTCCTAAACCTAAACTCAACTCCTGGCCATAATGCATTCATAGTTTCCTTGACCTTGGATTTCTTCTTTTAGTTTTTGACTAACCTCTGAATATGGTTTCCCTTCTTCTTCCTGGCAACTTGTTTTATGGCCCTACCCTTGCTACCCCCATCTAACTCAGTTGATTCCAGTCCCCAATATCCTACTCCTCCACAGAGCTAGTTGCCTTCTCTTGTTCAGGTACCACCTCCTGCTGGTGGTACAGAAGAAGTGGCTACAATGTGGGCGTCGGCGACCGGAAGTAATATCAGCTTGGAGGAGAAGAAAAAGGTTTTAATTCAGAGGCAGGGGAATGGCATCTTTATACAAACTGACAAACCTATCTACAACCCAGGGCAGGAAGGTAAGAGACACACAGATGGGATTCGACAAAATACAGGGCAAACTACTGCAAATATTCAGAAAGAGGGGCTTTGTGGTTTGGTGGGAGGTCTATGGAAGAAGGCAGGAGGGAGGAAGGGTCACAAGTTTTGAAGACACGCTGTGTTACATAAGCAGGAATAAGTGGGTGGAGTTGCTAGTATGTGTGTGTATCTGAAACAAAAGTACACATTTTTTCCTGGGATGGAATTTTGCAAGTTTAACTGGGCTGCTGTGGACCAGCTGCTTGTGTGTGAATAAAAGCATCAAGGGCATTTGGCTTGAACCCCTGGTATTTGTACTTTGTGCCTTCTTCCTTAGAAGGGCATTCCGTTCTAATGTTTCCAAGTCAGGAGCTGTGAAGAGAAACCCTTTGGGTGCTTTGATCTCTCTCCCAGACTTAGTTGTTTTTTTTTTTTTTAAAGTAAAACCTGATGGAATTTTGCTGACTCAGAAGTATGTGTGGGGAAGTAGAAAGGGTGGAAGAAAGACTCAGCGAGGGGAAAATTCCCTTTGACAATGCCTCCTGTTCTGTTCTAGTGCACTTCCCCATTGTCACCCTGAACAGCAGCTTTGTTCCAGTGAGTGACAAGGTGAGAATTTAGTTGGGAAGAGGGAAGGGGAGAGGAGTAGAGCAGACTGAGAGAGAGTAGGCAAAAGGAGAAGAGATTCTTTCTAAAAGTGTGATGAGTGAAGTCCTCTGAGATGCAGAATGTTTGTGCTAGCCTCAGGGTGTAAGTCTAAACCCTCTTTGTCCCATCTCCTAAAAACAGGCAGCATGCCCGGTTCTCAAGTGGATAGCTGAGGACATCCATTAGGTTAACATTCCTGAGAAATGCTCATATTAAAAGGGTTTTTAAAGGGCACCTGGGTGACTCAGTCGGTTAAGTGTCTGCCTTCGGCTCAGGTCATGATCCCAGGGTTCTGGAATTGAGCCCCGCGTCGGGCTCTCTGCTCAGGAGGGAGTCTGCTTCTCCCTCTCCCACTCCCTGCTGCTTGCATTCCCTCTCTCGCTGTGTCTCTCTCTGTCAAATAAATAGAATCTTAAAAAAAAAAAAAAAAAAAAAGACTACATTACGAGCCAAAGGTAAAAAGGTGGTAACATTTGGCGATTACTTAAATGCTCCTTGAACAGCTCAATCCCTGGAATCCTAAGTCTTATGATACGTTTGATCTCAATTTAGGGCTTGTGTCGTTTTTACATTTCTGAAACACTTACCTCTCGGTGATCCCTGTTGCTTTCTTTCTCCTTCAGTCACAGCCCAGGATACATGCTGTGTCATGAAGCTTTTATTTATTTTTATTTTATTTTATTATTATTTTTTAAAGATTTTATTTATTTATTTGAGAGAGAGAGAATGAGAGAGAGCGAGTACATGAGAGGGGGGAGGGTCCGAGGGAGAAGCAGGCTCCCCGCCGAGCAGGGAGCCCGCTGCGGGACTCGATGCGGGACTTGAGGGACTCCAGGATCATGACCTGAGCCGAAGGCAGTCGCTTAACCAACTGAGCCACCCAGGCGCCCTGTCATGAAGCTTTTTAAGATAATGATAGGGCAAGTGTTATTTTTATTTCCCTCTCCATGTTCTCAGAGCTTGTTTCCTTTCCCTATACAGACAGTGAAGCAATCAGCTTATTGATTAGTAGCTTCCTCCACCACTACTTTCTTCCCCAATTTAGAATTCTTTTCAGTTGCTCCTTCCTATCACCTGTACCTTTCTTCATCAATCTGGTTTAATATTGCCGACTTTCTCAACAGACTCTTTTTTTTTTTTAATTTTTATTTATTTATTCATGAGAGACAGAGAGAGAGAGAGGCAGAGGGAGAAGGAGGCTCCCAAGGAGCAGGGAGCCCGATGCGGGACTCGATCCCAGGACCCTGAGATCATGACCTGAGCCGAAGGCAGACGCTTAACCAACTGAGCCACCCAGGCGCCCTGTCATGAAGCTTTTTAAGATAATGATAGGGCAAGTGTTATTTTTATTTCCCTCTCCATGTTCTCAGAGCTTGTTTCCTTTCCCTATACAGACAGTGAAGCGATCAGCTTATTGATTAGTAGCTTCCTCCACCACTACTTTCTTCCCCAATTTAGAATTCTTCTCAGTTGCTCCTTCCTATCACCTGTACCTTTCTTCATCAATCTGGTTTAATATTGCCGACTTTCTCAACAGACTCTTTTTTTTTTTTTAATTTTTATTTATTTATTCATGAGAGACAGAGAGAGAGAGAGGCAGAGGGAGAAGGAGGCTCCCAAGGAGCAGGGAGCCCGATGCGGGACTCGATCCCAGGTCCCTGAGATCATGACCTGAGCCGAAGGCAGACGCTTAACCATCTGAGCCACCCAGGCGCCCCTCAACAGACTCTTAATCCCAGAGCTGAAAGGAGGAAGTGCTAGGGGAGAGCGTGACCACCACAGCCAAGCGTTAGTTCAGACTCTATCGCTCCCTGAAGGTGGATCTCAGTAGCCACCCTTGTTACACTGTCCTCTGCTCAGATTAGACCCCAGTACTGAGAGTTGTTCAGATTTCCATCCTTATTCTCTATTTCTGTTGTAAAATTACTCCTCCTCTTCACACCGTCTCTTTAGCCATCCCCCCACTCCAAGTTCCAACTTGAAACACTGAAAATTTGAAACTCCAGTTTGAAACACTGAGATAAACGGAAGGAATTTTACTAAGAAACTGAGGGACAAAAATTGTGAGGTTACAGAGCACAATATTTTATCCTTAGGCAACTGAAGTATACTTGACATTAACTGAGCCTCTCTGGGTTGGTTGCTACAACCATTATTCAGGAATCTCAGCCTGCTTCTGGTTGGAAATGCTATCTTCCTAGCATTGTTGAACACTTGGTTTTTTCTGGAGCCTACTTCTGGATAATTGGTGTCCTCCCTGCTTCTTGACTCTCTGTGTGAGAAAAGTACTTTGTCATCTGAGACGTGTTCTTTTTCTGTACTTTTTAGCAATCCATAGTCGTCTCATTTTTGTCTCCTTATTGTCTGTATAGCTCTGGTTTGTAAAAAATCCTGTCTCCCCCTTGATCCTGAGGGAGAGCAGGATGTGCCACCCCAAAATGGGCCACTTTGCCATGTGGATTATTTTGAGCTGAAGGCAGTGAAGAGCCAAAATACTCAGAAAAAATATTTTACCTCTCCTTTAACTGACTAAAAGAACTTATACAGTAGGGGAGGCACTGGGTAGCTCAGTCAGTGGAACGTCTGACTCTTGATTTTGGCTCAGGTCAGATCTCAGGGTCGTGAAATCGAGCCCTACTTTGGGCTCCATGCTCAGCATGGAGTCTGCTTGAGATTCTTCCTTTCTCCCTCCCCCTGCTCATGCTCTCTGTCTCTCTCTAAAATAAATAAATAAAATCTTAAAAAAAAAAAAGAACTTATATGGGGGCATGACCCAGTTACCAGATATAACTTTTTTTATCTAAAAGATTTATCTGCATGGTAGGGCAAACATTTGATTACCAACCATCTGCTCTTCTGATCTTCCTGTGAATTGTCCTATTTCCCACTGAAGCCCCAAGCCCCTATTTCTCATTCCTTAGCTCAATTGCCTGGCTGCCTTTGAGTCTCATTGTCCAAATGTATGTAATTAAATTTTTCTCCTGTTAATCCATCTTATATCAATTTAATTATTAGACCAGCCAAAAAACCTAGAAGGGAAGAAGGGAAAATTTTCTGTTCCTATAATCCTTATCTCTCATTTTTTGGCTTTTCTGAAGAATTGCCATTATCCTGGATATCAAGGTTGATAGTTGTATTTAGTGATGCTCTGCTTGTTTTCACTGGTTGACATCATGTGGTACTTGGTTCAAGAATCAAAGGCAAGCACCATCTTGATTTCATTCCCTTTTCCTTCCAAGTGAGATCCAATTCTTGTACCCTCTCTGAGTCCCCTATATTTAAATTCCAGCTTTCAATCCCATTTAGTTTTTAAGTGTATATAATACTAACTGGAATGCCCCGAGTTCAGTAAGTGTACAGTCTCTCATCAGAGTCTTAATTATATTAACATTTTAGACATTCTCCCTCTTTGTCTTAGATTTATTTGAGAGAGAGAGGTGGCAGGGGCAGAGGGAGAAGGAGCGAGAATCTGAAGCCAACTCTGCAATGAGCGTAGAGTCTGATTCGAGGCTTGGTCTCATGACACCGAGATCCTGACCTGAGCCGAAACTAAGAGTTAGTGCCTTAACCGACTGCACCACCCAGACGCCCCTAACATTTTAGACATTCTAATTACCAATTTCCTTAGCTATGATTTTGTACAATTCTAACGATTACAATTTGAAAAAATCAGAAGATCTTATACAAACAACACAATAAAAAGATGATTTTCTCAAAGATTATCTGCAGCAGTCATTTTGTTCTCAATTTTTTATTACAAGAATTTTCAAGGACGCCTGGGTGGCTCAGTTAAGCGTCTGCCTTCGGCTCAGGTCATGATCCCAGGATACTGGGATCGAGTCCCGCATCGGGCTCCTGCTCAGCAGGGAGTCTGCTTCTCCCTCTGCCTGCCGCTCCCCCTGCTTGTGCTCTCTCTCTCTCAGACAAATAAATAAATTAATTTAAAAAAAAAGAATTTTCAAACATAACATTCATTATGTTTCATTTTGCCATACTCATTTTAATCGATATTTTTTTTTTCTGAATCATTTAAAAGTAAGTTGCAGACATCTTAACATGTTACTAGTGAACACTTTAGCACGTATCTTTTTTTTTATATTCTTATGTTAATCCCCATACATTACATCATTAGTTTTAGATGAAGTGTTCCATGATTCATTGTTTGTGCACAACACCCAGTGCTCCATACAGAATGTGCCCTCCTCAATACCCACCACCAGGCCAACCCATCTTCCCACCCCCCTCCCCTCTAGAACCCTGTTTGTTTTTCAGAGTCCATCGTCTCTCACGGTTCGTCTACCCCTCCGATTTCCCCCGCTTCATTCTTCCCCTCCCGCTACCTTCTTCTTCTTCTTCTTTTTTTTTTTTTTCTTAACATATATTGCATTATTTGTTTCAGAGGTACAGATCTGAGATTCAACAGTCTTGCACAATTCACAGCGCTTACCAGAGCACATACCCTCCCCAGTGTCTATCACCCAGTCACCCCATCCCTCCCACCCCACCCCCCACTCCAACAACACTCAGTTTGTTTCCTGCGATTAAGAATTCCTCATATCAGTGAGATCATATGATACATGTCTTTCTCTGTTTGACTTATTTCACTCAACATAATACCCTCCAGTTCCATCCATGTCGTTGCAAATGGCAAGATCTCATTCCTTTTGATGGCTGCATAATATTCCATTGTATATATATACCACATCTTCTTTATCCATTCATCTGTCGATGGACATCTTGGCTCTTTCCACAGTTTGGCTATTGTGGACATTGCTGCTATAAACATCGGGGTGCACGTACCCCTTCGGATCCCTACTTTTGTATCTTTGGGGTAAATACCCAGTAGTAGCACGTGTCTTTTTAAAAGTAGATCTTAGGGGCGCCTGGGTGGCTCAGTCGTTAAGCGTCTGCCTTCGGCTCAGGTCATGATCCCAGGGTCCTTGGATAGAGCCCCGCATCGGGCTCCCTGCTCAGCAGGAAGCCTGCTTCTCCCTCTCCCACTCCTGCCGACTGAGCCACCCAGGCGGCCCTAAGTTTTTTTATTATTTAATGTAAGTTCTATGCCCAACATGGGGCTTGGACTCACAACCTCGAAATCAGGAGTCCCATGCTCTACTGACTGAGCCAGCCAGGTGCCCCTGTCTTCTTTTTTTTCTAATTAGCAAGTAATTTTGGTGACACTTTGGCGCCTAGCCCAGTAACCTGTTCACCACTAACCTTTTTTTTTTTTAAAGATTTTATTTATTTATTTTGAGAGAGAGGATGAGAGGAGAGAGAGAGCACATGAGAGGGGGGAGGGTCAGAGGGAGAAGCAGACTCCCTGCTGAGCAGGGAGCCCGATACGGGACTCCAGGATCATGACCTGAGCCGAAGGCAGTCGCTTAACCAACTGAGCCACCCAGGCGCCCCAAACCTTTTGGTTTTAACATGCATTTTCTTGAAGTCCTTTGATAGAACTCTTTTTTTAATTTTTAAAAAATTTTTAAAAAATTTTATTTATTTATTTGACAGACAGACAGACAGAGAGCACAAGCAGGGGGCAGCAGAGGGAGAGGGAGAAGCAGGCTCTCTGCTGAGCAGGGAGCCGGATGCGGGGCTCTATCCCCAGGACCCTGGAATCATGACCTGAGCCAAATGCAGATGCTTAACTGACTGAGGCACCCAGGCGTCCTGATGTAACTCTTTTAAACAAAATATTTTTTAGAAATTAAATGTTACCATGTTGCCAGTGACATCAGACAGCAGAGGAGGAGGCAAGGAGATAGTTGGCTCCCAAGAAGAGGTTTAAACATCGGGGAGCTTCCAGATGTTAAGACTTTCTTTTAAGGCATGTTGTGGTAGCGTTCAGCCCCAGAGCACTAAGGGATGCTGAAGGGTCTGAAGCTTCATTTCTTTTCTTTCTTTCTTTTTTTGTTTTTTATTTATTTATTTGACAGAGAGACAGCGAGAGAGGGAACACAAGCAGGGGGAGTGGGAGAGGGAGAAGCAGGCTTCCCGCAGAGCAGGGAGCCCGATGCAGGGCTCGATCCCAGGACCCTGGGATCATGACCTGAGCTGAAGGCAGATGCTTAATGACTGAGCCACCCAGGTGCCCCTGAAGCTTCATTTCTTCAAATGTTCTGGAGACTGGCAATCCCTTTGAAGAAATCTCTTCTCTCTCCTCCCCTAGCCAATAAGTTTTTACTCCATTGTTATCCTGATGAGGGCACAGAAGAACCATTTAGGAAGAAGAAATGGGCAACAGAGAAAGAAAGAAGCGCTTGTGAACTTTCTGCTTTCAGCCCATCCTTATTGCTTATCCTGCTCTAACCCACATTATCTGATTTTCCTTTTCAGTACTCCATGGCGGAGCTGCAGGTAAGTCGAAGTTTCCTTTTCTTTTCCGTCAGTTGTGGAAAAGGGGAAATGAATTTGGTGCTAAACCTTGAAGCCCCAGAAACAACTCGGAGATCTTGGCCCAGAGCCCGAGACTCTGCCCAAGTACTGAGCACCCAGAGCTCACCCAAGCTGCGCCTGTTCTCCTGCCTGCGCCCCCACCCTCTCAGTCCTGAGGCTCTGTAGAGAAGGACATCACTCCGCTGCGACTAGCCCTCCCCCTCTGATTCCTCTGACTTCTCTGTGCCATGCCAGTTCATCCAGGCTTGGTTCTGTACTCCTCTGATTCTAATGACTATTGTCATAGACACTCAGCCGTTGAATATGACACGAATACCTGTGGGAAGTGCTAAGAATGAAAGGGACTAGAAGGATGAATGCCCCACAGCAACCCCTCCATTGTTCTGTTAGATTATCTGTTGGGTATCTTGTGATAAATTCCTTCAGTGTTGCCCCTAAATAGGTACCAAGAATAAACACTCTTTGTAAAGGACATCCAAAAGCCCACTTTCTGAAACTGGTGATAACCCCTTTGAGGAGTCAGTCTGATTATTTGAATCCACAAAGATGCTTTTCGTCCCAAGTGGGGTCGGACCTATGGGAAAATTTATTTCATTTAGTAATAAAGAAAATCATAAATGAAACAGGAAGCTGTTCTTCCTGGATACAGACCACGGGGGTCATGGGCAATGAGTGGGATTCTTCACCTGCGCTTTGTGTCTTTACCTGCTTTTTTGCAGTGCATAGTGAGAAACAGGCAGGTACCTCATGAGTTTCTTTCTAATGAACACAGGATCCAAATAGGAACAGGATTGCACAGTGGCTGGAGGTGGTGCCTGAGCAAGGCATTGTAGACCTGTCCTTCCATCTGGCACCAGAAGCAACGCTGGGAACCTATACAGTAGAAGTGGCTGGGGGCGCGACCTTTGGCATCTTCAGTGTGGAAGAATATGGTAGGTAGGAGAATTAGTAGGTCAACGTGTTGGACATAATCTTGTCCCCAGATCAGCAAAGGTAAAGTAAAATCTACTATTGGAAGGGATTTTTTTAAATTCATTTTCGAATCCATGCTAAACCAGCCAATAACTTTAGGAGCATTTTGCCTTCATAATCGCCCTTAATTTAATTAATTTAAATATGACTGTTTTTATTCCCCTCTGTCCACTACCTGTATGGTCAAATCCTCTTCCTCTTCCTTTCCCATTTCTGTTTCCACTCTCTCCAGTGTTGCCTAAATTTAAGGTGGACGTGATAGAGCCCAAGCAGTTATCAACAGTAGAAGAATCCTTCTTAGTGACAATCTGTTGTAGGTAAGAATAAAGCTCTGGATCTGGTGGAGAGTAAAGCTATATTAGAAGAGTGACACGGGAGTGTCATGGGGAGAGAGATTATGGAGGCAGTGGTGAAAACTTAAGCTTTTTATGTGATCCAGAGTCCCGACTTCTCCAAGAACACATTTTCTTTTTTCTTTTTCTTCTTTTTTTAAAGATTTTATTTATTTATTTGAGAGAGAGCACATGAGAGGGGGGAGGGTCAGAGGGAGAAGCAGACTCCCCGCTGAGCAGGGAGCCCGACGTGGGACTTGATCCTGGGACTCCAGGATCATGACCTGAGCCGAAGGCAGTTGCTTAACCAACTGAGCCATCCAGGCGCCCAAGAACACATTTTCTAATTGTGTCTCTGCTCTTACTTTCCACCGCTCGCTCGCTCAATCAGCATTATTGATGCAGTGTCTACCTTATGCAGAACACAGTATTGAGTCCCATGGAGAGATAGGAGTAAGGAGAATGAAAAACACGGTCTCTGTCCTTCCGATGGTACTTATTGTGTAGTGGCAATATTGTAAGGCTTTGAGTAAAACAGGGAAGTGAACAAGACTAATGAAGGACTGTTAGTACTTTGGGAAGTTGGAGTAGGGGAAAGAAGGGACAGTGGTGTTTTGGAAGAGGAGGGTTGGATCTCAAGTGCAATCTCCCAGCTCTGACTTCTCATGCTTTTCTGGGTTAGGTACACCTGTGGAAAGTCCATGCTAGGGGCAGTGCAGGTATCAGTGTGTCAAAAGGCATATACTTACCATTTTCCAGAGGCAGAATGGGAACAGCTACCTGACAAATGCAGGAACCTTTCTGGACAGGTGAGTAAATGGGATGTAGAAAAGGAACCTTATTCATATGTCCTAATGAGTAACTAAGCACCTATATAAAAAAGTGGCAAAGGAATTTAAGAAACAAAACAGATGAACATGGGGGGAAAAAAGAGAGAGGCTCTTAACTATAGAGAACAAACTGAGGGTTGCAGAAGAGGAGAGGGGTGGGGGGATGGGTTAAATGGGTGATGGGCATTAAGGAGGGCACGTGATGTAATGAGCACTGGGTGTTATATGTAAGTGATGAATCACAAAATTCTACTACTGAAACTAATCTTACACTCTGTGTTAACCAACTGAAATTTAAATAAAAACTTAAGAAGGAAAAAAAATATGTTGGAAGGTGGTAAAAATAAAAAGTGGCAAAAAGCCCAAAGTAGAAATCATTTCATACAATTATTGCCCCAGTTCCAAAGAACAAAGCAGTCTTCTTTATTCTAAACAGATGAAGTCTTTTTTATTTATTTATTTTTATTTTATTTTATTTTATTTTTAAAGATTTTATTTATTTGACAGAGAGAGAGACAGTGAGAGAGGGAACACAAGCAGGGGGAGTGGCAGAGGGAGAAGCAGGCTTCCCGCTGAGCAGAGAGCCCGATGTGGGGCTCAATCCCAGGACCCTAGGATCATGACCTGAGCTGAAGGCAGCTCCTTAACGACTGAGCCACCCAGGCGCCCCTTTATTTATTTATTTTTTAAGATTTTGTTTATCTATTTGACACAGAGAGAGAAAGAGACAGCACAAGCAGGGAGAGGGAGAGGGAGGAGCAGACCCCCCACGGCCAAGCAGGGAGCCCAATGCGGGGACTCGATCCTGGGATCAGACCTGAGCCAAAGGCAGACGCCCAACCGACTGAGCCACCCAGGCGCCCCAGATGAAGTCTTTTTTAAAATCTGCCTTGGAGTCAAGAAATTAACCTAAATCCTTGGGAGATACAATTTTCCTGTCCTGCAGTTGGTTCTTTTCCCCCCTATATCTTGGATCTTCAAAGTTGTTTCATGATTGTGTATGTGCAGGTGTATACTCTATTGTTATAGGAGAGTTTTTCTATCTTCAAAGTGGAGAAACTAAAGCATGGAGATAAGAATTTCTTTCGATAGTACATTATGAAATGGGAGTAAAAGTTAGGTTATTCATCCTCTCTCTCTCTCTCTCCCTGATTGCTTCACTAGACTGACAAAGCAGGATGCTTCTCCACTTCTGTGGACATGTCCACCTTCAACCTCACTGGTTACATGTACAGCCACACCATCAATATTGTGGCTACTGTGGTGGAGGAAGGAACAGGTAGGTAGGATAGTCCTTGGTTCATTAAGAAAAGAGAAAGGGGCAGCTGGGTGGCTCAGTTGTTGGGCGTCTGCCTTCGGCTCGGGTCATGATCCCAGGGTCTTGGAATCGAGCCCTACATCGGGCTCCCTGCTTGGTGGGAAGCCTACTTCTCCCTCTCCCACTCCCCCTGCTTGTGTTCTCTCTCCCGCTGTGCCTCTCTCTGTCAAATAAATAAATAAAATCTTTAAAAAAGAAAGAAAAGAAAAGAGAAAGGAGAAGGGCTGTTCTAGGGATAAACTTAGAGGACTCAAGACTTACCCTCACTAGTGTTTGGGAATGACTCTGTTCCTAGTTCACAGTCAAAGGGAAATGTCAGATTCCAACGTGTCATCTGTTCCTAGTTCCCTAAAAGGTTGGGAAGGAGGAGTTTGTTTGGATCTTTGGCCAGAAATATGTTCAACTTCATGCTTCCAGTAGCACCGTCCTTTCAGGGATTTTTTTGTTAAACATGAAGATGAGGATATCAGGTATTTCAGTTGTCATACATTTGGTTTCCCTCTGCAGGAGTAGAAGCCAATACCACTCAGGATATCAACATTTCTTCACAAGTGGGATCAATAACCTTTGAAGACACCAAAAATTTTTATTACCCCAGTTTCCCCTTCAGTGGGAAGGTATGTTGAAACATATCTCTACACAAAAAATGCTTAACCATCCACTGTTGCCTTCTTCCTGTAGACATATAATAATGGCTAATTTAGCGTTGTTCTAAGTACTCTACAGGTATTTACTTATTTAATCTTTACAACTATCTAATGAGGTAGAAACTATTATTGGCCCCATTTTACAGATGAGGAGACTGAGGCACAGAGAGGTTAAGTGATTTTCCAAAAGTTATACAGCTAGTAAGTAGTAACTAGGATCAAACCCAGGCAGCCTGCATCCAGAGTATATACTCTTAATTCCTTATGCTGTGCTGCCCTTAATCTCACATGAGATGTGCTTTGAATATGAATGTGACTTTATTGCCTTTCCCAATGCCAAGGGCTCATAATCTAATGTTCAAATCTTTGAATTTTAGACCTGCAAGGTATCTAGAGAAATCACCTAGTGTGGCTCCTCAGCTAAGCAAGATTAATGTTAAACTTTCCTCGACAGAGAACCATTCATAGCTCCTTAAGCCGTTTCTTCAGAGATTTTAAAATTTCCTTTGTGTCTTCTTTCTTTCTTTTAAAAACAAAACAAAACAAAACATTTATTTATTTAAGTAATCCCTATATCCAGTGTGGGGCTTGAACTCAGACCTCCAGATCAAGAGGTGCATGCTCTCCCAACTGAGCCAGCAGGCTCCCCTCGTGTCTTCTTTCTGATACTTAACAATCTATCTATTTTTTTTAACTTCCAAATAACTGCTCCACACAATAACCTTGTATATTTTTAGATCCATTTAGAACCATCCTTAGTCATCTTTTCTCTAGACCAAGAGTGATCCAGATTTTCTTAGAGCCTAAGGATTATACAATTGGGGAGTGGAAGGGGACTCTGTTTAAAAAAATTAAAGCAAAGTAATGTACAGAGAGCCTTGGAAGGGGCCTATGTAAATGAAGGGTCCTAAAGCTTCATTAGCTACATGGCAAATCTACTTCTGCTCCAGGCTGAGCTACTTCTGTTTGTTTCTCATTTCCTCATAGATGTTAGTTTCCAACGCTTGAATCAAATTTACCTGTTTCTGGACTCTTTCCTGAAATGTATTCTTAGAGTTTATCACCTCACTTTACCTCATACTTGAACCTACTCCAAACCTAACTCTAATGCCCCAATAACCTTCATGCCACAGATAAGAGTTAGGGGCCATGATGGCTCCCTTCTCAAGAATCATTCAGTATTTCTGGTGATTTATGGCATAAATGGAACCATCAACCAGACCCTAACTACTGACAATGATGGCCTTGCTCCCTTCAAGCTGGATACAGTTAATTGGAATGGGGGAGATATTTCTCTGGAGGTAAGGCTTCCCTGAGGGAAAACTTCAAACTTTTCCTGTTTTTTTCCCCTCCTCCCTCATTTGTAATTCTATCTCCATCACTCACCAGTCCTGCTTCCCAGTTGACAAAAGTTTGTTTTGTTTTGTTTTTAAAGATTTATTTATTTATGGGGGGGAGGGGCAGAGGGAGAGGGAGAGAGAATCTCATGCAAATTCCCTTCAGAGCACGGAACCTGACATGGAACTTAATCCCAGGACCCTGATGAGATCATGACCTGAGCCGAAACCAAGAGTAGGATGCTCAACCAACTGAGACACCCAGGTGCCTCAGGGTTTTTTTGGTTTTAAATATCAATCTAATAAATGACCGTTCAGATAAAAATTGTTATTTCTACTAATTCATCTTACAACTTATCCCCATCTCTATTTGATCCTATATTTAAAATCAGAGTAGGGAGGAAAAAATTGTTGAGAGTCATTTTCTTCCTCCCTATCCCCCTCTTTTCACCTGCCCTGAGCCATTACTCATAAAAATGGCAAAGAAGAAAACTCTAGATTTTGGATAACTTGTATGGAAGGCTACTCATATCAGTTATCAACTGTGACACAATGCTCAATAAACAACTACAAAACTTCAATATTATACAACAACAAGGCTTTATTGCTCGTGCTCGTGCCTATTTGTCAGATAGGCAGATGTGCTGATCTTGGTGGACTTTCTCACATGTTTGTGGCTGAAGGCCAGTGTCTCATGCGCCAGCAAGCTATCCCAGGTATATTCTGATGGCAGCGATGAGATGCAAGAGCAAAAGTGGACACCCAAGGATTTTTCCAAGCCTCTACTTATCTTGCATATGCTCACATCCCATTCCCAACAAGTCACGTGGTGGGCCTGCAGTTAGACTAGAAGGGCAATGTAAGATTACATGGTAAAGGACATTAACAGGGGAGGGATGGATTGTGCCATTATGCAATCATTCAGCTATACTACTTAAGCAAACACATACAATTTATGTTGTGGCTAATTTAGTTCTTTACACAAGGCATTACTCAATCACTCTACTTAGAAATACTTATTTTTAATCTTATTATCCTTTATGCCTTGTTTTCTCATCCCTAGGATGTATTCTTTAATTTCTATGTAATCTTAGTCGTGCTTATCCATATATCCCCTGCGTCAGTCCCTGAAGGTTTATCATCCACAATTGCCCGTTACTTGGCAGTTATCATTCAGTCCTTCACTCCTCTGGATACTAAAGTGCTGCTGTTGTGGATTTCTCAAATATCCTTGGCTGGACCTCTAGTAAAATATCTACATGCCATTCTTAGGCAGTGAAGATTTGAGAGAGATCTGTTTGAAAACCATAACAAGCCCATGGGCTTACTATGGTCAAGGTATGTGTTAAGAGTCTTTTTCTTTCTCCCTTTTCTTAGGGCAGATTCCAAATGGAAGATTCGGTACACTATCCAGGACAGAGGCCTCATTACTACCAAAATGGCTATCTGCACCTGCAGTCCTTCTAGAGCACAACTTGGAGCTTCCTTGACATCCACCCACTACATGGGATCTTGGCGTGTGGCCAGCCCCAGGAAGTGCTGGTGGATTATTACATTGATCCAGAGGATGCAAACCCTGACCAGGAAGTCCTCTTCTCCTACTATGTGAGACAGGGAAATGAGGGCTGGTGAAAGTGCACTGGGGAAGGACAGGAAATGAGGAGGGTGAGCCGGAGAGGGTGGGTAGACTGTCTAGAGACATAATGCAAGTCCCAGAGGTAATTTCAAAATGTTTGGAAGCCATATTTAAAAAATTAAAAGAATAGGTAAAACTAATTTTATTTATTTATTTATTTAAAAAGCTGTATTTATTTATGAGAGAGAGAGAAAGAGAGCACATGTGTATCAATGGGGGGAGAGGCAGAGGAAAAGGGAGAGAGAGGATCCCAAGCAGATTCCCTGCTGAGCACAGAGCCTGACCTGGGACTCCATTCCAGGACCCCGAGATCATGGCCTGAGCTGAAATCAAGAATGCCCTGCTTTGGGACCCCTGGGTGGCTCAGTCAGGTAAGCATCTGCCTTCAGCTCAGGTTATGATCCCGGGGTCCTGGGATCAAGTCCCACATCAGGTTCCTTGCTCAGTGGGGAGCCTGCTTCTCCCTCTGCCTGCCACTCCCCCTGCTTGTGCTCTCTCTCTGTGTGTCAAATAAATAAATAAAATCTTTAAAAAAAAAAGAAGAATCCCCTGTTTAACCAACTGAGCTAGCCAGGTGCCCCTAGGTAAGACTAATTTTAAAAATATATTTTGGGGGGGCACCTGGGTGGCTCAGATGGTTAAGCATCTGCCTTCGGCTCAGGTCATGATCCCAGGGTCCTGGGATCGAGTCCCACATCGGGCTCTCTGCTCCTTGGGAGCCTGCTTCTCCCTCTGCCTCTCTCTCTCTGTCTCTCATGAATAAATAAATAAAATCTTAAAAAAAAAAAGATTAAAGGCTTAAAAAAAAAAAATATATATATTTTGGGGGGCATCTGGCTGACCCAGTCGGGGGAGGTACAGCTCTTGATCTGTGGGTCCTGCGTTCGAGCCCCACATTGTATGTAGAGATTACTTAAATAAGTAAATAAACTAAAAGAAAAAGTATTTTATTTAACCCAGTGTATCCAACATATGAGCATGTCAACATGAAATCCACATCAGAATTATGAATAGATATTTCATATGGTATGTATTTTATAGTAGCCACATTTCAAAGGCTCCAGCAGTCACCTGTGGCCAGTGGCTACTGTATTGCCCAGTGTAGGTGTAAAGGATGGGGAGGAATGAGAAAAAAGAGATTTTAAACAGGGAAATTGTGTGGGAAGATAACATGAGGAATTAAGGATAAAATGTTGTTGGTTGGGGCTGAATGGGAGCTGGGTGGGTGAGTGGGGGAGAGCGTGAGGAGGGGATGGGACTCGGAATAAATTTCATTGGTCAGTATTTTAAAATAGATGATAAAGGTTAAAATTAGCATGGATAGCAGCTTTGTTGTGTAAAACTATAACTTGTAGCTTGGAAGAAATGTATAAAGATAAGCAGCTTTACTGGTCACCTTGGTGATAGTGAGAAATTAGATTTGTGTAAATCCTGGGTTTGATGGCCTAGAGTCTCCATTCTCTTATCATCCTCTCAAAGTTTCTGAGGGATTTTTCTCCCCATTGATTCATTTCAGTGTCTTCGTCAAGCTGAAACAATCATCCTGATGCAACAGAGTGAATGGTCAGAGTGATAGCACCCGCAGTCCCTTCAGGACAGGGGTGTAGCGAGGCCCAGGAGAAGTAGCCGGCTGATCAGTGTAGAAGGGCTGAGTGTCAGCTGGGAGTCCGAGCAGCTGGCCATAGAGCCCACGACAGCCCTGCTTCGAAAGTTTCACCGAATTTGGTTTCAAGGGAGTGAACAGGAAGGGAGACTCAGGCAAAGGGGAGTTCTCCTCCAAAGACTCAAATGTCAGAAGGGCTCAAGTCAATTTTTTTTTTTTTAAAGATTTTATTTATTTATTTATTTGAGACAGAGAGAGAGACAGAGAGCATGAGAGGGAGGAGGGTCAGAGGGAGAAGCAGACTCCCTGCCGAGCAGGGAGGGCTCAAGTCAATTTAAAGCACACACATTTCCATTGAATTTTGAATTGAGGGATAATAAAGAAAAAGGTCATGAAGGTGGATTTTAGGTAATGTTATGTTATAAGGATTATAAGAGAATAAAACCTGGAGACTTTGAGGAATTGGTGGACAGCTCTCTACTGTGAAGAGTGGTTTCTCCTCCGTTTGGCCGGAGATACTGATGACCTTTGTCTCCTCCCATCCACCCCCGTGGTTCTCAGGCAGACCTCACCCTCCAGGAGGAAGAGTCAGCAGGGCTCTTGGCACCGTCTGACATCTGACCACCTGATGGACACTGTGTGAAGTATTGACCCAGGCTCTGGAGCCATGAAAGGAGCCTCTCTTTATGGAGAGGTGCAGGGATGCTCCGGAGTAGGGTCAAGGCTAAACTCTCATAGCTTCCATGCTGTTGATTTTTTTTTTTTTTTCTTTTTTAGTTAATAGGGAAAGGGCATCTGGAGATGGCGGGGCAGAAACACCTGAACTTTGAGAAGGAAGGTGAGTGTTTACGCTTCTGTTGAAAGACCAAAGGATATTTTAAACTTCCAGGAAATGTTATACTAGAAGCAAAAGAAGAAGCAATGAGAGCAGCACACTAACGATAACCATAGGAGAGCAGGAAAATGGGAAGCAGCTTGCAGCATGAGGCCGGCAGCAGGTTCAATGAGAAGAGCAGACAAGTGGTTGGAGGTCGTTGGTAGAAGGGTGTGCGTTCTCATCCCTGTGTATCCCCTCTTCTTCTTCTTCTTTTTTTTTTTTTTTGAAGATTTTATTTATTTCTTTGACAGAGAGAGACACAGCGAGAGAGGGAACACAAGCAGGGGGAGTGGGAGAGGGGGAAGCAGGCTTCCCACGGAGCAGGGAGCCCGATGCCGGGCTCGATCCCAGGACCCTGGGATCATGACCTGAGCCGAAGGCAGACACTTAACGACTGAGCCACCCAGGCGCCCCAAATTTTATTTATTTATTTGACAGAGAGAGACACAGTGAGAGAGGGAACACAAGCAGGGGGAGTGGGAGAGGGGGAAGCAGGCTTCCCGCCAAGCAGGGAGCCCAATGCGGGGCTTGATCCCAGGACCCTGGGATCATGACCCGAGCCGAACACAGACGCTTAATGACTGAGCCACCCAGGCACCCCATCCCTATCCCTACTTTTCTTTTTTTAATTTTTTTTTTTTAAGATTTTATTTATTCATTTGACAGAGAGAGACACAGCAAGAGAGGGAACACAAGCAGGGGGAGGGGAAGAGGGAGAAGCAGGCTTCCCGCGGAGCAGGGAGCCCGATGCGGGGCTCGATCCCAGGACTCTGAGATCCTGACCTGAGCCAAAGGCAGACGCTTAACGACTGAGCCACCCAGGCGCCCCAAATTTTATTTATTTATTTGACAGAGAGAGACACAGCGAGAGAGGGAACACAAGCAGGGGGAGTGGGAGAGGGACAAGCAGGCTTCCCGCCAAGCAGGGAGCCCGATGCGGGGCTCGATCCCAGGACCCCGGGATCATGACCTGAGCCGAAGGCAGACGCCCAACGACTGAGCCACCCAGGCGCCCCATCCCCTCTTCTTTTTCAGGAACAAAAGGCTCCTTTTCCCTCTCACTGACCTTCACTTCCAGACTAGCCCCTGACCCTTCCCTGGTGATCTATGCCATTTTTCCCAGTGGAGGCATTATAGCTGACAAAATTCAGTTCTCAGTAGAGATGTTTGACAATCAGGTAAAATGGCAGCTGAGGAAGGTGAAGAAAAGGTCTGGGCATAGAGAGAGATCACATGTATGCTGAGGTTGGAGATCAGGCAGGGGCAGGGAAATAAGAAGATCATATTGAAGTGGATGTCATTGTTGTATTTATGTCTTTAGTATGTTTTGTTGAAATCTATCTCCCACTTCCTTTTAAGAAGTCGTGCTGGGAACTTGTATATTCTATAAAGCTATTCTTTCTTTCTAGTTTTTGTCTCAAACTTTCTATGTTATTCTGTGCTATGCTGCTCGCTTTTTCCAATTGTACCACAAGAGAGGAGTTCTAAAAGGACTAGACTTAAAAAAAAAAAAAAAAAAAAGATCAGTATAAAAGTGAAGGAATGGGCTTGAATGCCAGAGTTGGGGCATATTGGCTGATGTTCCAAATGACATTGTTTCACCTTCTCTCCAGGCTGACCTGACCCCTCAGTTGTACTTCTCCCTTCCACGGGTTTCCCTTGGCTTCTCACCTCCGCAGCAGCTTCCAGGAGCAGATGTGGAAGTACAGCTACAGGCAGCTCCTGGGTCCCCGTGTGCAGTCCGGGCTGTGGGTGAGAGTGTCTTACTACTTAGGCCAGAGACAGAGCAGAGCAACGATTCTGTGAGGAGTCTGCTAATGGGGTGGGAACAGGGAGTTGACAGGGAAGACAGTTTGACTGAATTAGAATAAAAGATGGGTTTCAGGGAGTGGGAAAGAAAGTCTGAGGGAAATAGTGCACCACCATAAGGTGGTAGAAAAGCTGGTGTGGAAGTGAAGGTCAAATGATGGTATGAGAAAGGCATGGATCATGTGGACATAGAGGTAGGGAATTTGTAATAGGAGATAATTATTGAAAAAGGTGAGAAAGAGATCAAAATTTAGAAAGTAGGGAAGGGATGGGGTGGCTGGATGGCTCAGGTGGTTGAGCGTCTGACTCTTGATCTCAGCTCAGGTCTTGGTCTCGGGGTCGTGAGTTCAAGCCCCACATTGGAGCCCAGCGTGGAGTCTACTTAAAAAAAAAAGGGGGGGGAAATGGGGCGCCTGGGTGGCTCAGTCGTTATGTGTCTGCCTTCAGCTCAGGTCAGGATCCCAGGGTCCTGGGATCGAGCCCCACATCGGGCTCCCTGCTCGGCGGGAAGGCTGCTTCTCCCTCTCCCACTCCCCCTGCTTGTGTTCCCTCTCTCGCTGTGTCTCTCTCTGTCAAATAAATAAAATATTAAAAAAAAAAAGTAGGAAGAGATTATGATGGAATAAATATAAGAAGAATTCTGGCATAATGAAGAGAAATAATACAAGAACAGTGAACTGTGGCACCAGAATCTGAGTGAAGTTTCTCAGATGATTTCACTGTGTTAATAGTTTATTTCCTTTTCCCCTCCTATTTCAGGTCTATAGGATGTTCTCATTCTGGTATGGTCACTACCCCTATCAGGTGGCAGAATATGATGAGTGTCCAATGTCTGGCTCCTGGGACGCTCCTCAGCCCCTCTCAATTATGTGGAGACCTTGGTTCTCTGAAGGCATGGACCTTTTCCATTTTTTCCAGGTAGATGTTCTTACCCATTTTGTTCTTATAGAAACAATGGTGGTGGGGTGGAGGGTGAAGGAAAGTCCATATCTAAAAAAGCAGAGAGACTCATGTGGGCACTGAAGGGATAAAATCTTGGAAGAAACTCCTGATATGTGAGGTAGCCTCTCTTGGTCCTTATGCTTGAAGAAGGGGCCCAGTTGCCTGATTGCATTGGAAAGAGCCACTATGAGAGGCTGTGGGCAGCCTCTTTCGGTCCCTGAACAAACTGATTTCCATGGGATCAGCCGAGAAGGAAAAATGAGGAAAGGTAGACCAGAGGTCTCTTACTATTGTTATAAAAAGTACTACATGAGTAGAAATTGAGTACTTTATGAGTAGAAGTTGGGGATGCTGTGGCCCAAGGCTGACCAGGAAGTCTCTGAAGTCAGGAACCATGTCTTGTTCATCTTTGTATTCTAATGACTGATCCTTCATAATACTCAATGTATTTTTGTTGAATTAACTGAGCCGATATGGTTCCTGCCCTCAGAAAGTTCAGTCTAAATCGAATAATAATGACACAGTGACTAATATTTGGGAGAAGCGTTAAACATATTTGACAATGAAATAAGTGGAATACTATTCAGCCATAAAAAAAAGAATGAAATCTTGCCATTTACGACAACATGGTTGGATCCTGAGGGCATTATGCTTAGTGAAATAAGACAGAGAAAGACAAATGCTATATGACCTCACTTATACATGGAATCTACAAAACAATGACAACAGTAAAACCAAGCTCATAGGTACACAGAACAATGTGGTGGTTACCAGAGGCAGGGGCTGGGGGTGGGCAAAATGAGTGAAGGTTGTCAAAAGGTACAGACATTCAGTTGTAAGATAAATAAGTCCTGGGGATGTAATATACAGTGTGGTGACAGCATGGTTGACATTGTATTGCATATTTGCAAGTTGCTAAAGAGTAGATCTTAAAACTTCTCATCCCAAGAAAAAAAATTTTTCTAACTATGTATGGTGATGGATGTTAACTAGACTTATTGTGGTGATCATTTTGCAAAGTATATTTTTAAAAAAATTGAAGGCCTTTCACATTAGCTGACAGAAGCAAACAAAACCTTGGTGGCTGAGTATTGGGTAGTAACCACCAGTCTCACAATTAATAGGAAAAGAATGTCTTGGTTCAGTCCTTTGAGGGTGGAATTCCTAGGCAGTTGCCCTGGTAGTAAGGGAGGGGACCACCCTAACACTTCACTGTCTGGTTTCTTTGGTGCCTGTCAGGGCATGGGCCTGAAAATACTGTCCAATGCCAAAATTAAGAAGCCAGTAGATTGCAGTCAACAGTCTCTAAAATACAGCATTGCAATGTCTGGAGGTAAGCTACCTGTGTGGCTTGTGGATTCTCTGAGATGTTTAAATCATGGAACTCTGAAAACTTACGCTTTGCCTCCTATTTCTGCACTGAGCCTCTAGCCTCAGAATGGCAATGGGTTGTGGGTCATAGATGCAGGCAGCCGGATCTCTCCCCCTGGGGAGAACCTTTGAAGCCTGAAGCCCTTACCTATTCATCCCCTGGCCCAGCCTCTTCATCTGTCACTTCCCCCTGATGGCCTTATGACTAGTCAGTTCCTCAGTGGTCCTTCCTCCTTGTCTCTGACTGGATGTTCTCTGTTTCCCTCTAAATTTCTTGGTAATAGTCCCTCTGCCTCAATTTGTCTCACAACGGAAGTCTTCTGTTTTCCCCTCAATTCCCTTATTCTTGCTCTCCTTAGCAAATTACCAATAGGTGAGGAGAGTTTTGAGTCATCATCATCTTCATCACTTCAGTCAGAGAACTCTCAGGTCTGCCAATACTTCCCGGAGACTTGGCTCTGGGATCTGTTTCCTATTGGGTAAGTGATGCCTCAAAGGTACAGCAAGATTGTACAGTGGGAGAGTCAGCAGAAAACTCAGACTCAGATAATTTCTAATGAATCTAAGTCTCAAGCCAAGAGAGTTTAATGGGGACGTGGGAACTTGCTTCTTTCCCTGAATTCTTAGGCAATCATAGGCAATCCCTCAAAAAGAACTCACATGTCTTCACATTTACAGAGTGCAGACAGTGCATTTGGAGTCCAGGTCCAAGAGACGTAAAGACATGTGTTGACCTCCTGCCCACTGCTTACCTGCTCATTTTGACAAGCCAGAGGAATGACAAGCCCCCTCTCACCTCAAGGCTCATGTGTCCAGCAGGCACATGAAAAGATGCTCAACATCACTAATCATCAGAGAAATGCAAATCAAAACCCCTCCCAGATTCAGAGGGCACTGGCCTCTTTCAGATATGTTTGCACACGGGCCCCCCCTACTCTCATTCACCCCCTCATATCCTCAGACACCCCCCTTCTCCCATATTCATACATCCTCGCTCACCTGAACGTTCACACTCTGAGATTTGCATGTTCCTCAGTTCATTTGCCTTTTTACCCCGCCCCCCACAACAACAGCAACAAATGACTTCTGTAGGTAAATTTATAGCTTATATCACAATGTTCTCCTGCTCTGTGCCTCACCTGGGTTCTTGTGTTCTCACAGTGACTCTGGGAGGGAGACTGTCCATGTCATCGTTCCTGACACCATCACCGAGTGGAAGGCCATGACTTTCTGTACCTCCCAGTCCAGAGGCTTTGGTCTTTCACCTACTGTTGGACTGACTGCTTTCAAGCCATTTTTTGTTGAACTGACTCTCCCTTACTCAGTAGTTCATGGGGAATCCTTTCGCCTTACTGCCACCATCTTCAGTTATCTGAAGGACTGCATCAGGGTAAGAGTTGGGGATGCAGGAAGCAGATGCCCCTGGGAAAGAGATGGGATGTGTCTCCACCCCCACATTTTCCCAAGCATCTGTGTGTTATTTCCTGTACTCAGACCCTTTATTTCTTAAACATCTGCAGATTCAGACTAACCTGGGTACATCAGATAAGTACCAGGTGGAATCGTGGACAGATTCTTGGGGCTCCAGCTGTCTCTGTGCTGATGAAGCAAAAAACTATCACTGGAATATCACAGCTACCAAACTGGGTAAGAGAAGGAAGCGATAGAGGAGCAAGGAAAGCACAGAGCAAAAGCTCAGTGATTGAGAACTTTACCCTTTCCTCTCCTGCATTTGCTTTGTTCTCTCGTTCTTTCTCATTTTATTTGCCTCTGCTCTTTGATGACCAAAAAATTATCCAAACTAGACAATTTTGAGTGTGAAAAGGGGAGCTTTTAATATTTATGCCAGGACAAGGGATATATAGTCATGTTACTTATCAAATAGTTACTGTGGGACAGCTGCTATTCTAACTGCTCGACATGTGGTAACTCATTTAATCATCACAATAACCCTGAGATGTCATTTGCTCTTACGATAAAACCCTGGTAACTTAAAGTATGGTTTTCAGATGTATAGTTATCTACTGCTGCTTAACTAGTCACCCTAAAACTTAAGAGGCTTGGGACATCTGGGTGGCTCAGTCAGCTAAGTGTCTGCCTTTGGCTCAGGTCAGATCTTGGGCTTCTGGGATGGAGCCTTGCTCATGCTAAGAGATAAATAAAATCTTAAAAAACAAAACAAAACAAAAAACCCCCGAAAACCAACAACTTAGAGACTTAAAAGAACAAACATTCATGATCACCCAGTTTCCATGGGCCAGTAATCTAAGTGCAGAGTGCAGCAGGGTGCCTCTGGCTCAAGGTCTGTCACGAAATACCAGTCACGCTGTCAGCAGGGCTGTGTTTTCATCTGGAGACTTGACTGGGAGAGGATCCACTTCCACTGTCCTCCCAAAGCCTCTGTCCCTCAGAGGCCTCAGCTGTGGGCTAGTGGCCTCTCTCAGTATCTCATCACATGAATCTTTCCACTGGGCTGCCTCAGGACAGGACAGCTGCATTCCTGCTGAGCAAGTGGCCCAAGAGAAAGAGTGCACCTGAGACAGAAGTTATAGTCTTTTTTATAACCTAGTCCCGGAAGTGGCATCTCATTGCTTCTGCCCTATCCTCTTAGAAGCAAGTCGCTCAGTCCAGCCCACACTCCAAGAGGAGCTTACACAACAGTGTAAATATTGGGATGCAGGGATCATTGGGGGCCCTTAGAGGCTGCCTACCACACTGGACCAGTATTACTGACATCACCTGGAAATTTGTTAGAAATGTGAATATAGGCCCCACCCCAGATGTACTGACTCAGTTTGTATTCTAACAAGATCTGCAGGTCTTTGCATGTTGTTAAGTTTAAAAAGCACTGGTCTACAGGGGAAGAGACCTCATTGGTACCTCTGGCAGTAGGGCTAATGCCTTCTTTTCCCCTTCTTTCTTCCAGGTCATGTGAACTTTACCGTCACTACTAAGATTCTGGACAGCAATGAACTCTGTAAGGGGCAGAAGGGGTTCATTCCAGCAAAGGGCCAGAGTGACACACTCATCAAACCAGTTCTGGTCAAGGTGAGTTTTCTTTTCCTTCCCTTCCCTTCCCTTCCTTTCCCTTCCCTTCCCTTCCCATCTCTTTCTTTCTTTCTTTCTTTCCTTCTTTCCTTCCTTCCTTCTTTCTTTCTTTCTTTCTTTCTTTCTTTCTTTCTTTCTTTCTTTCTTTCTTTCTTTCTTTCTTTCTTTCTTTCTTTCCTTCCTTCCTTCCTTCCTTCCTTCCTTCCTTCTTTCTTTCTTTCTTTCTTTCTTTCTTTCTTTCTTTCTTTCTTTCTTTCTTTTCTTTCTTTCTTTCTTTCTTCTTTCAAGTTTTCCACAGGCCTATCTTCAGAGGTAGAGATAGCAGTCACCCCAGGGATGTTCTGTGTATGTCTAGCCACACGGTTAGTCTTTCACAGCTGTCTGACTCCAACTTCAGTCAGGTAGCTCACCTTCTCACCTTCCTTCTTCTGTGGCCCCTTTCTGCCCTTAATTATTGGCTTAACCCATTCCAATGCTCTATGAAAGTGCCTAATAGAGTACCTGGTGCACTCAGTGAATGTTAGTTTCTCTTATTAAAATCTCTAATATCATCATTAACTGCTTTTTTATCCCATTATGAACCCCATTGTCAATCTTGCCTCTTAGAAGTTTCCTAAACTTGTCCTTAGCTCTGGCCCTTGCTCAGAAAGAATTTTATTGATAGGCCCATTCCTGCATTGAAGTGGAGTTCTCCTGAGCTTCAAAGAGAAGCTCTCTTCTCTCCAGTTCTGAGAACCCCTGGGGGCACAGGGAGGGCCTCTTCTCCCCATTTCCCTTCCCCTTCCTAATCCTTCAGTGCCATATGCCCTGACATTTATCTGCATTGTTTTCACCCTTTGTCTCTCTTCATGTCAGCCTGAGGGAGTCCTTGTGGAGAAGACATACAGTTCATTGCTTTGCCCAAAAGGTGGGTGAATGCAGAGAGGGGTTGGTGCTGAGAATTCCTGTCAGCGACAGGAGATTTTTGTAGGCCAAGGGAGGAATACATAGGACAAGAAGGGATAGGAGAGAGTCTGGGGTGCTATCCCCTAATAGGGCCAATTAGCTGAGAGACAGGATGAAGAATAAAAAATGTACAACACAATTATGGGTTTTTTGGGAATTTATTTTCAGCAGAGAACACTATGAACAGGTTAAAAAAAAATTGCCTCCAACCCACAGAAAGCACTGGGTACAGAAAACCCTGGATTATAGAAAGTTTTTCTATGGTTTGGACTTGAACTCGCACTATGTCCACCTTCTCTACTTTCTCCTTTTCTCTGCCTCTCACAGGACAAGTGGCTTCAGAATCCATCTCCTTAGAGCTCCCTGTGGATGTTGTTCCTGATTCAAGCAAGGCTTATGTTATGGTTCTGGGTAAATAGCCAGAGATTCTTGCTCAAAAGAGAAAAAAAAATGGGGCTGAAATCTGCCAAAACATGGAGTGGGTTGGGGCCTATGGACCTATCTGAAGGAAGGCATGTTAGATTAGAAGTGACAGAAGAACTTATTTTATACAGTCGGCAAATACACCCTATAGGTAACAGTACATGTAGAATTAGATGTATATGATAGTTAAAAACAGGAGTCTGGACAGGAGGAAGTTAAAGGTCAGCAAAGCTTCATACGTATTTAGGTTCAGGTGGTCTATAAATTGAGTGGAGGAGAAACACAGTGTTTGTAGCAGCCATTTAAAAAAATGAGGAATTTATGTATTTGAGTATAGTTAGGGAAGATAAAACCATATTTACACAGATGGGACACTTCACTCCTCTGAGCAAGGAGAGGGATTGAGTAGAAAAGCCTGAGCTTGAAAATCATACCAAATTGGGTTAGGATCCAAGTTGTGCCATTTAATAGCCACGTGACCTTTATTAAATAAGTGAACAATTCTGATCCTTTTTTCCCCTCTTCTGCAAGACACTAATGATAACCTACCTCTCAGGATTGGTGTAAAAATTAAATATAAAGTTTCCACCATAATATCTAGCAGATAGTAGGAGTCCTGGACGAGTTAGATTATTTCTTTATTCTTATCCCCTACCAAGATCCCTTCCAGGTTAAAATTTCTCTATTTGGACTGTATTTGATTCATACGTGTTGTATATCACTCATCTTATTGTAGTATAGCTCACTGTCTATGTCTGTCTTTCACACTGCCTTGTGGGCTCCTTGAGGATAAGGGCCATGTCTTTTACTTTGTCTTTTACTATTGACAGTTCCTGCCAAATAGTTGACCTTCAGTGCCTATTTATAGATTTGAGTTGAACTTGAACTTGAACCTGAACTGCCTTAGGTAGCCTATGTACCTCTCTATGTACTCTAGCACCTTGTACGAACCTAGTATTATAGTGCTATATTGTAATTGTTTATAATGAGTTTTACTTGCAATGTTCTGTCATTGGTTCCCCCTCTGATTATGATCCTTTGAAGTAAAGACTGTATTTGACGTATTGTCTCCCAGGCACAATGTGGGTACTCAACTAAATGGTCGCTGATACATGTTTGTTAAATGAATGCCAGTAACTCACAAGGGCTCCTTCTCTCTACCATCACTTTCTCTCTCCTTTTGGATCTCAGGAGACATTATGGGCACAGCCCTACAGAACCTAGACAATCTGGTACAGATGCCAAACGGCTGTGGGGAGCAGAACATGGTCTTGTTTGCTCCCATAATCTACGTCTTGCAGTACCTGGAGAAGGCAAGGCTGCTGACTGAGGAAATCAGGTCTCGGGCAGTGGGTTTCCTGAAGCTAGGTGAGTCGGTTCAATCTTTTCTTCTTGGACACGTTTTCTAGAGCCTAATGATGGTTTAATAAGATATAGGACGATTCCCCCTGAAGTGTCCCGCACCCTTGAAAGCCTTGAAAGCATGTGTTTTGAAGTTGTCCCTGTGAACTAACATCGTATCTGGCTTCCCAGGGTACCAGAAGGAGCTAATGTACAAACACAGCGATGGCTCATACAGTGCCTTTGGGGAGCAGGATGGAGATGGAAACACATGGTAATATTGCCCAGGTGTCAGTGTACCCCAGAGCACAATTCCTGGGCCTATGAAACTATTCCTCTACCTCTCCCCTTAACCCCATTCCTTCTTATATCCACTCTCTCTACCTCTTTAATATTGTTTATTTCAGCCTCACGTATGGTCAAGCCCCTCACCCTTCTCCCTGACTTTGTGCTTCCCTAGTTCTTTTCCCCATTAATGCCCATTAATATCTCCCTTTTCTAGGCTTCTACGGCATTATATTTCCTTACTCCCCTTCTGGAACCTTATACCAAAATAAACTATAGCACTATTGTACCCTTGCTGGGAAATCCCCCCTCATGCCACACTTCCTTCTTTACCCACATAGGCTGATAGCGTTTGTCACCAAATGCTTTGGCCAAGCTCAAGAATTCATCTTCATTGATGACAGTAATATCCAGGATGCTCTCAAGTGGATGGCGGTAAACCAGCTCCCCAGCGGTTGCTACACCAATGTGGGAAGGCTCATTCACACAGCTATGAAGGTGCAAATCTGCTCCCAGGCCTTCAGCTCACTACCATGTCTGGGAGGAATTTGCACCTCTGAGCAGAATGAAAAGAGCATAAGCCTGGGAGTCAGTGTTCTTCAGGTCTCAGGCCTGGCTTCGGATGACCTTGGTCACCATACTTAACCAGTCTGAGCCTCAGCTTCCATGTCTGTAGAATGGGAATGTGTACTGGCACATGGTTCTCATGGTACCGTCCTCAGATCAGCAGCATTAACAGCGCCTGAGAACTTGTTTCAAATGCAAATTCCAGTCCTACCCCAGACCTACTCTGAGAAACTCTGGGAGTGTGGGCCAGCAATTTGTATTTTTAACAAGCCCTCGAGTTGGTTCTGATATTCGTGGAAGTGTAAGAACCACTGGATTAGAGGTTCTCTGGGTTGGGCGCCTGGGTGGCTCAGATGGTTAAGCATCTGCCTTCGGCTCAGATCATGATCGCAGGGTCCCAGGATCGAGTCCCACATCGGGCTCCCGGCTCAGTGGGGAGCCTGCTTCTCCCTCTGACCCTCTCCCCTCTCATGCTGTTTCTCTCCTGCTCACTCTCTAATAAATAAATAAATAAGATTTTATTTATTTATTTATTTGAGAGAGAGAGAAAAGTGATAAGGAAGTCATTACATCCTTTTTGAGTTTACAAGGGTGAACAGGGATTAAAAGTCAGTGAATTCCTCTAGAACTAGGTGCAGTAAGAAGGATATAAAGAGGAGGAGCTAGAGACACTCACATGTGTGGTCTTTCCCATCTCCAGCAATGCAGCTGTGAGGTACGCCACTCTTTAGGAAGAGTTGTGAAGTCATTAGATCATTGTTGAGAGTTTTGTGAGAAAGCCCATGGAAGTCCTTAAAAGGCACTGTTATACTTTTAGCATGAAGAGGAACGAGATGGTGGAAGCTAGTCAGAAGACCTATGGGTGTTGTAGAATCACCCTTTTGTAGGTCTTTAACAGTTCTTTGGTATGAGATCACTGAGGTTGACTGGGTAAGAGTTAAACTTAGAAACTTAGAGCTTCTTTGTTTTGTTTTTTTTTTTTTTTTTTTGAGAGAAGGATGGGGAGGGGCAGAGGGAGAGGGAGAGAGAGAATATTAAGCAAGCTCCACGCCCAGTTGGTTAAGGGTCCCACTCTTGGTTTCAGCTCAGGTCATGATCTCAGGGTCGTGAGATCGAGCCCTGTGTCAGACTCCGTGCTCTCTCTCTCCTTCTTCCTCTGCCCCACCCCCAACTTGCATACGCCCTCTTTCTCTAAAATAAATAAATAAATCTTTAAAAAAAATGTTAAACTTTTAATTAGGTAAAATAAAGGCTGAAAATTTAGACTTAAAATTCTATAAGCCAAAAAAAAAAAAATGCTCCCAAATACATAAGATTCTTATAAGTTTCTACTTACCTATCTCCACTAGCATTAGAATTTATAAATTAACAAGAGTGGTTTTCATGTAATTGCTGGAGGCATTTATTGATCCTCTCAGCTTCATCTTGGGGAATGATGTATCGCTCTACACACACATCCCTGTGGAAACATTATGGCCAATGTATCAGAAGATTTTGAGAAATTTTTTTTTCTAACTTATGCTTAATTTTTGGTTGGCACTTGCTCTGCTCTAAGGTGCAGCATTTACAAATTGAATATGAGAAATCATTTCCTTTTAAGACCTTCCTAATTATGCTTCTTTTTCCATAGGAGAGTCCATTCACTGGAGCCCAAAGCCTGCTCCGTCAGTGGATGCCAGACCTTGGTCTCAGCCTGAGGCTGTAGATGTGGAACTGACAGCATATGTATTACTGGCCCAGCTTAGCACAGCCAGCCTGACTCAAGAGGAGATTGCCAAGGCCACTGCCATAGTGGCTTGGTTGGCCAAGCAATGTAATGCATATGGGGTCTTCTCTTCTACTCAGGTAAATAACCTCCTCTCCAACTGCCAACTCCATTCTTTTTTATCAGGTAGGATTAGGTCCTTTGTGGAGATAGGAAAACAACAACAACAACAAAACAAAGCTGTTGCCCTTGACGTCTAGGTCAAGGTACTTACAATTCTATAGGGAGGGAGAAAATCATGTGAAAAATATAGGATTCATAACACTGGGTCGTATGAACACATATATAGCATTATAAGCACTATATGCATTTAATGCTCTTTCTTTTTTTAAAGTATGAGACATCCTGAGATCAATATTTTACATGTGAACAGGACATATATAATTATGGCTAAACTATAGATTAACAGATTAGAAGGCCAATTATGGGATTGGAAGCATAAAAGCAAGGTTTTACTGATTTACTTCTACTATTGAATATATTGGGAAGCTAATAAGATATATAATCTTTACTCTAAATAAAATTTACAAACTAGTGGGCGCCTGGGTGGCTCAGCAGTTGAGTGTCTGCCTTTGGCTCGGGTCATGATCCTGGGGCCCAGGGATCAAGCCCCGCTTCGGGCTCTCGGCTCGGCAGGGAGTCTGCTTCTCCCTCTCTTGCTCCCCCTGCTTGTGCTCTCTCCCTCTGTCAAATAAATAAATAAAATCTTTAAAAAATAATAATAAAAAGTTTACAAACTAGAAGTAAAGTTAGGAAAAGTTCTACAATTACAGAGCAGGATTTTGTTATATAACATAAAAAAGATACAAAATAATGCATTTCAAAAGGGAGAGAGGGCTTGTATCAACTTGAAGGATGAGAAAAGTCTTCAGGGGCACGGCATTTGAGATAGATCTAGAAGGATATGTAGCGACGCCTGGCTGGCTCAGTCGGTAGAGCATGTGACTCTTGTTCTTGGGGTTGTGAGTTTAAGCCCCACATTGGACGAAGAATCTACTTAAAAGATAGATCAGATTAGATAGGTAAAATAAAAGGGTATGTATGATTTTGAGAGACAGCTATTGAAAGGAAGAGGAAATGGCTTGAGCAGAGACAACAGTTTGCAAAAGTATAGAATGACTGTTGGGAAAACTGGGTTAGCTAAAGCATAATGGGACTTCAGTTTAGAAAGGTAGGGCAGCTTTATACCATGAAGGCCCTTTCATTTCAGACTCAAGATTTTGCCCAATTCTGAGGAGCTATTAATTTTTTTTTTACCTTGTTTCAGAAAGATTGACCTGTTATTGGTGTAGGGGGTGACTTAGAGCAGGAAGACACTGGATTTTGAAGAGATAAGGACACTATTTTCATTTGCCTAGGTTAGGGGTAAGGAGAAATTGAATTAGTCAGGTGGCAGTAAGGGAAAAAGGGTAGAATTGCATGATAAATTCAAATACCATCATAAAAATTGTCTGAAATGATCATGAAGAGAGTAGTCATTAATTCATTTGTTCTGCAAATGGTATTAAATACATGTCCAATTCACTGAGAAAACAAAATAATCAAGAAAACGTATTTCTTATCCTTATAAAGATTATATTCTGACTTGTTGAAATTAGGGCCAGTTTCACTGAGGATGTAACATGTAAATTAGACCTGGAAACAGAATAGATTTTAATTGATACAGTGTTTGGTAAAGATGTCAAGAGCACTGAGCTTGAATATGGTAAAGTCATAATTGGAATATTTTTAAAGTTATATGGTACTATGCTTCCTTACTTCAAGGAAATTCTTGGTCAAAGATCAGGAAGGATTTTCTTCTTCTTGCTGAGCCCTAAATAAGTATGATATACAATTTTAGAAAGCAGTGGGTGAAATGTTTAGAACACTCAGTGACACATATACGTCAAAATTGTTTTTCAGTAAAATCCTTAGCTATTAGAAGTCACATGTCACCCACATGGGTTTTTCAGTTAATGATGAGGTCTCATTTCTTTTTTTTTTTTTTTTAGGATTTATTTATTTATTTGACAGAGAGAGACACAGCGAGAGAGGGAACACAAGCAGGGGGAGTGGGAGAGGGAGAAGTAGGCTCCCCGCTGAGCAGGGGGCCTGATGCGGGGCTCGATCCAGGGACCCTGGGTCATGACCTGAGCTGAAGGCAGACGCTTAACCGACTGAGCCACCCAGGCGCCCCAAGACAAGAGTCTTTTAACCTCCATATAGAGAGGGTTATTTTCACTTTAGTTTTTTTTTTTTTTTAAGATTTTATTTATTTGACAGAGAGAAATATAGCGAGAGAGGGAACACAAGCAGGGGGAGTGGGAGAGGGAGAAGCAGGCTTCCCGCGGAGCAGGGAGCCTGATGCGGGGCTCAATCCCAGAACCCTGGGATCATGACCTGAGCCAAAGGCAGATGCTTAACGACTGAGCCACCCAGGTGCCCCTATTTTCACTTTAGTTTTAATATGATGTTTTGTCTTTCTTCCCCACAGCTGAGTAAGAAGACTCAGACCTATACCTTCACCATCAGCCAAAGTGTGTTGGTCACTAACCTGAAACCAGCAACCATCACAGTCTATGACTACTACCTCCCAGGTGAGGGCTGAGATCTACCTGTGTCTCCCAACATATTTCTGCCTCTTTCTTCATGATATCACTCTTAATTTTACAAATACTTCTCCCCAAGCCAAATAGAACATAATTACATTATTCGATCTCCTAAAACATTATAATTTAATTATATGTCATTCTTAAGTCTTCTGTACTACGGATATTTTATCAGATGTGGTCCATAGACCAAAAGAACAATACGGACCATTGTTCTTTAAGGACTAAGTATTCTGAATATTTTTGCTGTGATTAATAATTTACCACAATATTAGTGTTTGGAACTTTCCTGTAATTCTTAATATGCTCATAATCTATAGGAATCTTCTGAAAAAGGCTAACGCAGTAGTTTTCAAGAAGTATTTTCTCTTTGAATTCATGAGGCCTGTAATGTAATGATACATGTCATTTCATTTTACAGATGAACGGGCAACAATTCAGTACTCTGACCCCTGTGAATGAGGTAAGGGTGAGCTTTTAGGGTAGGGTGATCGTATTCAAAAGTTAAGGGGACCTTCTTCTGAGTTACTGTTATTGTCTTTTGGAAGCTAATTTTTGATAGAAAGTGGGCTTTACTTTTTTTTTCTTGTCTTTAACTTTTTTTTTTTATGTAAACTCTGTACCCAACATGGGGCTCAAACTCACAACCCTGAAATCAAGAGTCACGTGCTCTACTGACTGAGCCAGCCTGGCACCCCCATTTTTTGTCCCAAATTCTGAAAGGAAGAATAATAATCTTCATAGCTCACACCAGAAAAAGTTAATAGTGGCATTTGTGTGAGGGCTTCTATGTGATTTTTATTTTTTTATTTTTATTTTAAAGATTTATTTTAGAGAGAGAGACAGAGAGCATGAGTAGGGGGAGGGGCAGAAGGAGAGAGAGAAGCAGACTCCCTGCTGAGCCCACGTGGAGCCCATTGACAGGGCTTGATCTCAAGACCCTGAGATCATGACCTGATCCAAAACCAAGAGTCAGATGCTTAACCAACTGAGCCACCCAGGCGCCCCTCTATGTGATTTTTAAAAACTGTATCTTTTTTCTGATTGAAATTAATGAATTTTTAAAATTATTTTTACATTCTACATCTTTTTATAAAAATACTATGGGAAAAGTAAAGATTACCTGATTCTACTCCCCTGAGATAACACTATTAATAATCTTATCGTGCATTTGTGAGATTTTTTCCTAGATAGGAAAAAACGAGGACATGCCTGGCCAGCTCGGTCAGGAGAGCATGTGACTTTTGATGTCAGGGTTGTGAGTTCCAGCCCCACCATTGGCATAGAGATAACTTTTTAAAAATAATTAAAATAAATGAGTAAGAAAAGGCTCCTCTATACTTGTGAGGATTTTCTGAGTATAATGATGTCTTCTTTTTTTTTTTTTTTTTCCTCTCCCAGGATAGAAGTTGGAAAGAGACTAATTTAATCCTCTGTGACATTACTGGACAGCATTCTTCTGCCTCTTAAAGCAAAACACATTCAATCCAGTAATGTGATTTCTCTGACTGACTAGTGAGTGAGTAACAGATGAGCAGGCTTGAACTTCAGCTACTTTCTACTACTATTCACAGATGCATAGGTGCTAGAATAAAGGGCTGTGGGAAATGAAGTAAGAATAATCACACAAAGGAGAAATTACATGGAAAAGACCACTAGGAGAGGAGATGTGGTTTAGCCATGTAGGGGACTCTCCAGAGAGGATATGGAGGTAGAGGATGATCCAGGGAAGATAAAAATGTCTTCCTGGAGATTAAATCTAAGCGAAGATGTAATTTAGGGCTTTGGGAATAGATTAAAAAATTTTTTTTCTTTGAAAAGAAAATCTGTGTCCTTGGCTCTGTGCGTATTTCTGTGGATACCAAAGGTTCTGTTTAAAGATGATGATCATCCTTTAACCAAAACTTACATTTTGGCTTCTTCATTAAACCTTTTGACCCAGACATGTCAGAGGATCATATTACGGATTCAGGGAGGGGTCAGAGTAGAGAATGCTAATTAAGGGACTGACTGTGTTCAGCCAACCAGCACTGCAGGGCAAAACAGTGATTGATAACAAGAAGAGTGGCTGACCAGGATTCCCTGTCTCTGTCTTTCTCCTTCAGGACTCCCCCAGCCTTTTCCTGCAGGGGATACCTCTCATTGTGTAAACTCTGGAAGCAATGTTTTTGTTTTAGAAACAGGATTGGAAGCAAAGATATGGGGGAAAAAAGAGATGAATGATATTTAAACAGAGAAGATCTTCTAGGTAATCACACCTTTTAACCCTGGATATTCACTCTCTGATCTTGCTCCTCTAGATTTTAAATTTTGACCAAAAGAGTCAGGGGGAAAGTAAGTCCATGATGTAGAGATATTTCCCTAAGCCCAGGGCCATACCTGCAAAAACTATTTGTTCCCTGTCTCCCCCACCCTAGACTCTGCCCTGGACCTCTTAGGAGTTCCCAAAGTGAGAGAAGATGGGAAACATACCCAAAGGAGGTCATCCCCAAACCTGCCTTACTCCTCAGGTATCACAAGAAGAGAATAGAGAGAACTCTAAAGAAAAGAGGGCACTCATGAATGCTCCTCCCATTCCTGAGCACTCTACCCTCTGTTACATTTGGCTCTGTAGCTCCTACCAGAGCCATCTTTTTTGCAATGGAGGGGGATGGTGATCCTTAAGACTTAAGTTGTATCTGGATAGAACATTTTAAATGAATACAGAAACTATTCTTGTATCTTTTGGGCTTCAGATACGAGAAAAAGAATATTCTTATGACTTAAATTATCAACTACACTAGCAGAAGGATGTAAATGAAAAAATTTATGCATTGTTCAACTTACTGAAATGTAAACATTTTTTTTTAAGATTTTATTTATTCATCTGAGATACAGAGAGAGAGAGCATGAGTGGGGGGAGACAGAGGGAAAGGAGAAGCAGGCTCCCTGCTGAGCCAGGAGCCCAACGTGGGGCTCGATCCTGGAATCATGACCTGAGCCGAAGGCTGACGCTTAACCATCTGAGCCACCCAGGCGCCCCAGAATGTAAACATTTCTGCATATCTGAGAAGCAAGGTAGTTGTAAGGATTAAGTGACACTTGGTATTATAGTACTTACAGTACTCAAGACCTGCATTTATTATATGCCAGTTACTTTACCAGTTCTGGGAATGCAAAGATAAGTAAAATGAGGTTTCTATCCTCAAGTTGCTCACAGACTGGTGGAGGGAGAAAATAAATCAACCGTTACAATACAGAGTGGGAAGGAAGGAAGGAAGGAAGGGGGGATGGAAGGAGGGAAAGGAGGAAAGTGCAGATAGCAGAAGTACCAAAAGCTTTGGGAGTACATAGGAGAGGCACCTTCCCAGACTGAGGTGAAGGGGTGGTCAAAACAGCTTTTCCAGGTTAATGGATGCCTGAGCTGGACGAGCAACAACCAGAAAATGAAGGAGGAAGCAGGTTTGGATAAAGTGGGCTGCGTATGAAAGACAAAGAGGTAGAAGCAAGCATGGTATTTCATCCAAGTAGTTCAGTGCACTCATGGATTGTGTGTGTGTGTGTGTCTAAAAGTTAGATTGAGAAAGTGGAGAGAAATTAGGTCATGACTTGCTTTTTAGAAAGATCATTCTAGCAGAGCACCTGGCTGGCTCGCTCAGAGGAACGTGCAACTCTTGATCTCGGGGTTGTGGGTTCGAGCCCCACATTGGGTGTAGAGCTTGCTTAAATAAATAAACAAACTTAAAAAAGAGAGAAAGATCATTCTAGCAACAGAATAAAGAATGAAGGGCCCCTGGGTGGCTCAGTTGGTTAAGCAACTGCCTTCGGCTCAGGTCATGATCCTGGAGTCCCTGGAGTCCCGGGATCGAGTCCCGCATCGGGCTCTCTGCTCGGCAGGGAGCCTGCTTCTCCCTCTGACCCTCCCCCCTCCCATGTGTTCTCTCTCTCTCATTCTCTCTGTCTCAAATAAATAAATAAAATCTTTAAAAAAAAAAAAAGAATGAAGAGAAGAGTAAAGCTGAAGTTCTCAAAACCATCTAGGAAAGTGCTGCAATAATCTGGACAGGGGCTGGGAAGCTACAGTGGGCACAAAGAGGGGGCATCTGCAGAAGTGACTCCATAGAAGAGATGGCATCAGGAGGACTTAGTGATGTCAAAGACAAAAGGCACCAGACAAGTGAGATGATTTTATTCGGGCTATTGCAATAGAGAACATGTGTGTTAATGAAGAATGTCTCAGAAAAGGAAAGGGACCTGAGGTTTTATAGAGGTAGGAAAACAAAGGATGCATGAATCTTACTGGAGTCGTGAGGAAGGGTAGAGATGGGTCTTTTCATGGAATATCTGAGAATAGGGTGGTTCTTTAGAGTTAGCTGTTTTGCCAGAACACAAAAGGTAATGGGATTTTGGAAAACAAAAAAAATGGGGGTATTTCTTAACTGGCCAGTTTTCTAGAAGCATAGGGTTCAGGTAAAACTCACCACTGTCAGTAATTAGTTGGATATAAGACAGGAGAGTCAGAGAAGAGTCTGGGAAGTCTGCCAGGATTCTAGATTGTAGAATACATAAGAGAGGAAAACCTTTTCCTCTAATCTCTTATATTCAGTGCCTGGGACCTGTGAATTAAACTGGCAAAAAATAGATTAGCAGGAAAAAAGATCTATTTGTATGCAACTGGTCACTTCACAGGAAAAAAATGAAAACCCCAAGAATCAGGTAGGTAGGCCTGTGGGCTTATATTACCATTTTAACAAAGGGTGATACTGTTGTGGGAGAAGTTACCAAAGGAAAAGGGGTTTGGGCTTCTAGGGGCAATGACATTGTGGGAAGGTAAATAAATATAGGGGGAAAGGAATAGAAGATTAAGGTTATTTTAGTAAGGTTTACTTGTGCAGATACAAGTTCATGCTGACTGGGCACCTGGGTGGCTCATTAGGTTAAGTGTCTCCCTTTGGCTCAGGTCATGACCCCAGGGTCCTGGGATTGAGTCCTGCATCGGGCTTCCTGCTCAACAGGGAGTCTGCTTCTCCCTCTCCCTCTGCTCCTTCTCTCTCTCTCTCTTGCTCACCCTCTCTCTCAAATCAGTCAATAAAACCTTAAAAAAAAAAAAAGTTAATGCTGACTTTCCATCTCCTGTGATAAAGGTTGTTCTCCTGGTATGGGAGAGGGGAGGGGAGACACCCTCACAAAAGGAAATGAATGCCCTGCTTTCAGGCAGAAAGGAGGAAAGCAGAGTTCTTCCTGTATCTGCTTTGTAGATACACCTTTGGTCTCCCAACCTTACCCTTATTTCTTTAGGAACACCAAACTACATTTAGTTCCCTCTTTCTACTATGTTCTCTGATAATTTTGAAATACACTTTTTATGGTGCTTGCAAAGCCTCTCCATCTCTTCTGCCTGGAGGACTTCCATTGGTCCTATAAGGTATGGCCTTCAAGGTGTGTTTTCTACTTTAGTAAGTAAGTCTTCCACAAGAATTCCTCTCCATTCCCATAGCACTTTGTGCTTCCTACTGAGGACTTACCAAACTGGGTTCACATTTTCTGTTAATACCCCCACGTTTCCCACCAGAATGTGAGACCCTTGAGTGCTTATGCCTTAGAGTATACACTGCTAATGCCTCTCCATCATCCATTCTCTTCTTCTTCACTAAGGAAAAGCACAGTTGTATTTGAAACAGTAATGTGCCCAACTATAATACTCATCTCAGAATTACTTACATTAGGGGAAGCAGTGGGGCAGAATTCTAGCCAAAAAAGGTAACTGGAAGTCTCTGGAAATAAATCCCTTCTGAATGAGATGACAAAACCTCACGAAGGGAAAGCTTTTGGCCCTTCTTCCTTCTTTCTGACTGGAACAAGGACGAGAATCCTGGGGGAAGAGCATCCTTTTGCAATCATACAGATAAAAGCCATATGCTGAAGATGGGAGAGCAGAAGGATGAAAGGAGTTTGGGTGCTTGATGACATCACAGATCAGTCCTGTCCTTGGACATTTTGGATAGGTAATGAAAATAATAAATGGCTTACTTTTTTTTTTAACTTTTTAAAAGAGTTTATTTATTTATTTGAGAGAGAGAGAGCAGGGGAGGGGCAGAGAGAGAGGGAGAGAAGCAGACTCCCTGCTGAGTGGGGAGCCTGACACGGGGCTTGATCCCAGGACCCTGAGATCATGACCTGAGCTGAAGTCAAATGCTCAACTGACTGAGGCACCCAGATGCCCCTAAACTTTTTACCGAAGTATAATAAACATATATAGAAAGTACACATCTTATAAATATGTAGTTCAATGAATTAAAAGAAATTAAAAACACACCCATGTAACTAGCATTCTAGAATGTTACCAGCATCCTTGAAGTGCACCCTCCAGTTCTGGTCACCAACCCCCGAGGATAACCACAACACTAACTTCTTTTTTTTTTTTTTTAAAGATTTTATTTATTTATTTGAGAGAGAGAATGAGAGAGAGAGAGCATGAGAGGGGGGAGGGTCAGGGGGAGAAGCAGACTCCCCGCCGAGCAGGGAGCCTGATGCGGGACTCGATCCCGGGACTCCAGGATCATGACCTGAGCCGAAGGCAGTTGCTTAACCGACTGAGCCACCCAGGCACCCCGAAAAGGATAGTTTTTTTTTTTTTTTTAAAGATTTTATTTATTTATCTGAGAGAGAGAATGGGAGACAGAGAGCATGAGAGGGAGAAGCAGACTCCCCGCCGAGCAGGGAGCCCGATGCGGGACTCGATCCAGGGACTCCAGGATCATGACCTGAGCCGAAGGCAGTCTTTGAACCGACTGAGCCACCCAGGCGCCCCCACAACACTAACTTCTAAGAGCACAGATTATATTTGCCTGTGCTCTTTGCACATAAAAACAAGAATGTGGGGTGCCTGGCTGGCTCAGTCAGTGGAACATGTGACTCTTGATCTCAGGGTCGTAAGTTCGAACCCCATTGGGCAAAGAGATTACTGTAAAAAAAAATGTAAGAAAATATATGGTTGCTCCTGGCTTATTTCCCTCAACAGTATGTTTATAGCTATTCTTGATATTCTTTTGTATAGTTATAGATCATTCATGCTTATTGCTACATAGTATTCCACTGTATGAGTGTACTTC